GTAAGCTAAATTGTTCGTATTCCTTGGTTATATGCTTATTGTTGCGATATGAGAGTTTTGTGACGTATCTTAAGTCTCAGCAGGTAGTACAAAGTCTCTCAGAGCTTATTGAATTCTATTGACACTATCCGTGGCTGTTTGAATTATCATTGTGACTTCGATTATTTCCTCTTTCAAAAAATAAACATTTTAAATATTATCTCGTATCTCGCTGAATGTTAAAAATATTAACATTTTTAATGAACAAATACAGCGGAATATTTTAAACATCACATTGCTGTAATATTAATAATAAAATATTAAAAGTAAAATCTCTCTCTCTCTCTCTCTCTCTCTCTCTCTCTCTCTCTCTCTCTCTCTCTCTCTCTCTCTCTCTCTCTCTCTCTCTCTCTCTCTCTCTCTCTCTCTCTCTCTCTCTCTCTCTCTCTCTCTCTCTCTCTCTCTCTCTCTCTCTCTCTCTCTCTCTCTCTCTCTCTCTCTCTCTCTCTCTCTCTCTCTCTCTCTCTCTCTCTCTCTCTCTCTCTCTCTCTCTCTCTCTCTCTCTCTCTCTCTCTCTCTCTCTCTCTCTCTCTCTCTCTCTCTCTCTCTCTCTCTCTCTCTCTCTCTCTCTCTCTCTCTCTCTCTCTCTCTCTCTCTCTCTCTCTCTCTCTCTCTCTCTCTCTCTCTCTCTCTCTCTCTCTCTCTCTCTCTCTCTCTCTCTCTCTCTCTCTCTCTCTCTCTCTCTCTCTCTCTCAATCTCTCTCTCTCTCTCTCTCTCTCTCTCTTATATGCGAAAAAAATAAAATTTAGAAAATAGATTAAGAGAAATATATACATATATATACATTTAAAGTAAGTTTAAAAATCTTTTACATATATTTTTTAATAAATATCGTCATATACAGAACATCGATATTATAACAAAGACAATGAAGCCACAAAGAAAACAAAATCTTTTGCAATGTGGCTCAATTAATTGGCAATAATGATAAACGTGCAACGTATCAGACAATGAAGCCACAAAGAAAACAAAATCTTTTGCAATGTGGCTCAATTAATTGGCAATAATGATAAACGTGACGCAACGTATCGATTTCTTAACAGATTAGGAATTTGATCGAGTCATCAAATCGCAGTTTCTTAAAACAAAAAAGAAAAAAGAAAAGATCAGCTCTTTCAAAACGCAAAAGAAATCCGACGTTGTCTCTTAAATATTTATTTTTTAATAAAATGAGAAAATTGAACAGATTTTTAAACATCTTGTCTTTCGAATTTAATAAGGTCACTAGTATCACTTAAGATTATTTGATTACTGTAATATATCAAATATTGAAATGATTATATTTTGGAAGATAATTTATTGACTGAAACAAAGGCAAATATTTGAGCAGTTGAAACTAATCTCAAACGTTTTGAACATAATCGATTCCAATAATAAATTAATGAAATGATGAATGTGACGAATGGTGTGTTAATCATAGGATCATTAATATAATAACCGAATTAATTCTTGGATTATTCAATGCTATATCGTCAGTTCGATCTATTCAATCAGCGGTAACTTATAATTCAGATGTAACATAACATCATAACAAAGGGAAAGAGAGATTTCGAACTCTCGTAGATAGGCTTCAAGTTGACCGCGTTATTTAGTTTATCATTTTTAACAATTCAAAAAATGCAAAAGAATATCGTATGATCACTGGCGTGACATCAAAGAAAAAAGTAAAGGCTGTCAATTCTAGATTTAAAAAAAAAACGAACGAAATGTTTTTAATTAATCTGGATGAGTAATCAAATGAAATGGAGAGAGAAAGAGAGAGAGAAATGCGTGTGTGATCCTATACCTTTCTTAAATTTAAATACAGAAATGGAGAGTGCGACCGCACCGAGCACGCTGATGGAGATGAAAACACGAAGACAGACGCAATTCCAGTCGCAAGCATCGACCTTGGATACTAGAAGGAGGCAAGCGATTTGCGTTAGAAGGGCTTTCAAAAAATATGGATCCAAAAACAATCCCAATATTGTTCTGGACGGGCTCAATATGACCGTGCCGAAAGGTACGATGTAAGTACCTCCCTGCAACATTAATACAGAAAGTTGATAAAATTTTTGTTTTAGTGATAATTAGTTAAACATTAATAAACATATTTCATAAAATGATGTATATACAATTTAAAAAAAAAAAAGAAAGAAATAAAAAAATTAATGCAAGAGCTGAATTCATTTATATGATGTACAATGATGTCACAAATTGAAGGCATTCAATAAACATTTTTCAAATTCAATGCCGCGTTAAAAAGAATACATTAGCCTTTTTCTTTTTTTGCTGAAAAATAAATATATAATTCTTCAAAAGAGGTTCTATTAATGTGTCAGCAATTTATTTTGTGACATCATTATCATATTTATAATACGTAGGTAAATTTAAAATTTTATGTATAGAAAAAATGTCAACTGACAAATTGATATAAATGATAAATATTATAAAATATTTCATTTAATTTCTCTCTGTCACATTTGCGTGAAATTATAAATTTGTCAATGTATCATTATATTGTAAATATGATAATGATGTAACGAAATGAATAGTTGTTGACATAAAATATATATATATATGAAACGTAGAAAAATTTTATGTAATAATTTTTGTTTTATGATATTGTTATGATTCTAATAAACGTTTTATTATTCAGTTATGGATTACTTGGTGCGAGTGGTTGCGGGAAGACTACTTTATTGTCATGCATTGTCGGCCGGAGACGCTTGAATTCCGGCGAAATCTGGGTGCTGGGGGGCCGACCAGGCTCTAAAGGGTCCGGCGTGCCCGGTCCTCGGGTTGGCTACATGCCACAAGAAATCGCGCTCTATGGTGAATTCTCCATTCGAGAGACGTTCATCTATTTCGGTTGGTGCGCCGGCATGTCCACAGGTCAAGTGGACGATAAGCTGGAATTTTTAATTAAGGTAAAAAAAAAATCTAGGACACAAAGGCCGAATTTTTGAAAAGATTTAATTCTAGGAAAAGAATGTCAAAAATATAATTATTCCAAATTTTTATTCCACCAGTAAAATATTCCAAAAAATGTGTAGTACTTTCTTTCTCGCATAGAAAGAAATTTTTTAATTTTTTTTCTTATATTACGATAAATACTTTTATTATAAAATATTGTAACTCTCAATAATATTTATATTTTGATTGTAGCTTTTGCAATTACCATCGGCAAATCGTTTCGTCAAAAATCTGTCCGGTGGTCAGCAAAGAAGAGTATCCTTCGCGGCTGCCCTTTTAGCCGATCCTGAACTCTTGATCTTGGATGAACCGACGGTTGGGGTGGATCCTGTTCTCCGGCAGAATATCTGGGATCACTTGGTGCATATCACCAAAGACGGTAACAAGACTATTATTATCACCACGCACTACATCGAGGAGACTAGGCAAGTTGTAAAATAATTACTTATATTTTTACTATATTTTACGATATTAGTATCCTTTTTGAGAGAGAGAGAGAAGGATTTAATATTCTCTAAATATATAATATTAAAATTTTGTTTGTGGCTGCTAATTGTACAGCAAGTATTATATGCTTAAGTTAAAGCAAGAAAAATGTTATATTTATTTAATTCTCTCTGTACAAATTCAAATAAAAAAATAATAATTACAATTTGTTTTCTTCTATTAAGTAATTATAAAAATTACTGAAATAATTGATTGTCAAATCCTCCAGGCAAGCTGGCATAATTGGCTTAATGAGAAGCGGCAAATTTTTGGCGGAGGAATCGCCGAGGAAGCTAATGGAGATGCATCGACTGGATACTTTGGAAGATGTTTTCTTAAAACTGAGTAAAAGACAAAATTTAGGATTAAGGAGAAGAAGCAGTATTCTGAGCAATTTGACGGGTGTCCCACCGGAAGACGTGAGTATAAATGTCAAGGAATTTTTTTGACACGCTTTAATTATTTAGCATTTATGTATTTTTTGTGATATATATTTATTGTATGTATGTTTTTTATTATTAAAATAGATATTATTCAATTTATCTTCTTTTTGTAGGACATGGATGACGAGATGAGTGGCGAATTCGGCGACAACGTCAGCGTGTGTAGTCGGAGAAAAAGCGTAGTCATTGCGGATGATGACAATGTAATAATTTCTAGAAAGAGAAAGAGAAAACACACACTCTTCCTCACTACTTTTAGATTATTTAAAATTATTTATAAAATAATTATTTTTAGTAATTATATGTTATAGTAGCAACTTTTTTTTATATAATCTTTTATTGTCTGAAAAAATTTATTTTTTCTAAATGACTGAAAAAACTGCTTTTCTGTGCAAAATAATATTTTATTTGTTTCCACTTTATTTCTCCTCTAATAGGTGGGAGGATTGCCTCCGGAAGAAGAAGGTTCCTCCAAGTTTACTATGCTCGATCCGATGCATATGAAGGCCCTTATCTGGAAGAACTTCTTGTGGATGTGGCGAAATGTCGGGTAATCCGATATTACATTTTTGCACCAATTCCATTTTTATTCTCGCGTTTATCATTCTTCAACTGCAATGTTATTATTTCTACTCTTACTTACACTTTTTTTTCGTAGAATAATGTTGTTCATCATTGCCCTGCCGGTCGCCCAGATAGTCATCTTTTGCCTTTCCATCGGTAAGAATCCTATAGGTCTAAAAATAGCCATCGTTAACAACGAACTCAACAGCAGCATGCAACCTTGTATTCCCTCAACCGGATGCGATTGGTCACTATTGAGTTGTCGTTATCTTCAATATCTGGAGAAGAAGACCATAAACTTATTACCTTACGATAACGACGAAGAAGCTGATAATGCAGTGAGAAACGGTTGGGCATGGGGCGCCATAACGTTCCCGTCGAATTATTCCGACGCTCTCATGGCGAGAATAGATTACGGCAGAAATGCCGAGGATTGGGATATCGAATATGCAGAAATGAAAGTCGTCATGGACATGTCCAGTAAGCTTTTGAACGTTATACATATAGAATAAAACAGAGATAAATGTTAGATCTTCGTATATGATATGTCGCATTTTAATGGTCTCGATTTTGTGAAACGTTGTTATAAAATAATAATTAAATATTGATACACACATATATACGTTTTAACACAATATATCTTAACATAGATCAACAGATAGGGCAATTGCTGCAAAGAGATTTGTTTTACGCCTTTCAAGACTTTGCGAAAGAGCTTACTGTGGCTTGCAACTACAGCGAGAAAGCGACAAGCATACCTATGCATGTAAGAGAATAATCATGCAGAGATATGATAGATATACATATATTCTTTTTTGTTAAGTTATATAGTCTTGATTTTTTTTGTGTTCTGTAATATTGTAAATTATTATTGACAACAATTTATTTAATTGTTACATTAGTTCGAAACACCAGTCTATGGACCTCTGGAACCTATCTTTACGGATTTCGCAGCTCCTGGAGTGATTCTAACGTAAGTATTCGCATTAATGTCAATGTAATAGTAACACATATACGTTAAAATTAATTTTCTTTTTTTGTTAATAATTTAAAAGATTAAATAAATTTGTATTCTTTTAGAATCATTTTCTTTCTCTCGGTTGCATTGACATCAGGCTCCATGTTGTTGGAAAGAAATGAAGGTCTGCTGGAAAGAACTCTCGTATCAGGTACGTTATAAAAAAAATATTAAAAACCATGATACACGTATAAAATAAATACGATGAACGTATAAAAGAAGTATTTGAACAAATAAATAAATTATAAAATTTATAAAACATATAGAATAAAAAATTTTTGAGTTGATAGATCTTGTAATTAATAAACAATTAATTATAATTTTATATAATTTATTCAGGTCTCACTGGCACGGAAATTCTTTTCGGCCAAGTGATCACGCAGTTCATGGTGGTGTTCGGACAAAGCGTGATGGTTCTCGTAGTCTCATTCGTCATCTTCAAAATCAATTGCGCAGGCGACATAGGCTGGATTACTACTTTGACTGTTCTCACGGGTCTTTGCGGCATGTGTTTTGGTAATTTATTAACTATTTTAATATTACATCATAGAGAGTATCACACATAAAATATTTATGAAAATTTTATAAATTGTTTCTCTATAAAATAAATATCTTCTAATATTTTGCAAAAATATGTTTTGATTTATGCGAAATATTGGCGATTTTTCAAATAACAATAAGTTGTGAAAACGTATAAAAAATTGGAAAGTTTGTGTGAGAGGAAAAAATTTCGCTTTTTTTGATTATATATATACTTTGTATTTTTCGGAAATATTTTATCTGAAAAATATAAGAAAGTTTTTCAAAAACACAATCCAATTTTTAGGGTTTGTCATTGCCTGTTTCTGCGACAACGAAAGAAGCGCTACATATGTGGCTATGGGTTCCTTCCTTCCAATTGTGATGCTGTGCGGCATCATCTGGCCTATAGAAGGCATACATCCTTTTCTGAAGTATATTAGTTTTCTGTTACCTCTGACAAAAAGCACAGAATCGATGAGATCAATGCTGACCAGAGGTTGGCCGATATCGGAACCTACGATATATTACGGTTTTATCGCCACCCTCATTTGGATCAGTATTTTCATGAGCATATCAATACTGCTGCTTAAGTTCAAGAAGGGTTAACTTAGAGTAAGGGAAGGATAGTTTTACAAATATAGAAAGAAACAAACTAAATGTATCTTTCTGTAAATTGTAATATAAGATTAAATAGAAATATAGAAAGAAGAAGAATTGGTTTATATATATAAAGTATCAATATAATAAAATTATATGAATAAAAACATATCTAGACAATATAAAATATATCTTTTAATCCCATTTTATAATTTGATATTGTTATAAATTAATATTGTATTTTAAATTTGAGAATATATATATTAAATCAATTCATATTTAAAAACTAAATTTAAATTTATTTAAATAAAAATTGTCCAAGAACGCACAAAAATATTACATTGCTATATAATTCCCATCCTGTGTATCAAAATAATTATATAATATAATTATATAATATAATTCAATGTAAAAAATAGAGCAAGTTACTACATGACTCGTCGCATTTGCCGATAAAAGAGACAGAAGACTTGCAACCAGTTATACAAAGTGAATATTGCTTGCAATATTTCATTGCGTTTTATATGTAAACCGTCCAGAAAGAATCTCACGAGAAAGATAATGATCTCTACGATGATGACGCAGAGTTGCATCAACAACCAGGGCGTGTGTAGCATAGGGTATTCCTGTTACAGCAAAACTGCATATTTTAGATATAAAAGAAATAGAGTTGATTAATGAATTCAAAGTCCTTGAATTAATTTATTGATCAATCATATTTTTTTTAATCCTTTATACTCACCGTGATAGCGCCTAACATAATTAAAGTATAATGCTCGATTCCCAGTATTGACGTCATCAGCTTCAAGTCTCTTTCGACGGTAAAAGGCACTGCAATTATTATTTAATATTTAATTAATTATTTGTAACAATTTAGAACAATTTATTAAAATATAAAACATGGAGTAGATTATTACCTTCTTGATTATGTCTGTGCCGCGATGATATTCTGGGAATCTTATAATTTATTGTGCGTATTATATCAAGAGTCGTGATTACCTGACGGAATTTTTAATAGTGCATTTAATGTTACGTTATTTTTTATCTGACACACAGATAAATAATTAAATTAGCATGATGAGAGTATTACGATGGACTAACGGTCCCTATAAAGCCCAAAACGATCACATACAACGAACTGCCCATGACATAATGATCGCACAAAGAACAAGCTATTCGACCGATTCTCTACAAAATAAAAAAAGTATATATATTCTTTATTAAAGTTTTAAAGAATTATGTAAATTTGTTAATAACTACGAATTTAGAATAACATATTATATATATAAATTCAAAGTTCTCGAGTTAATTAATTTATTATTATTATTTTATTAAAATATATATTTTTTTATTTTATGTATATATTTGAGTCATAATTAAACACAGTAAATATTCAATTACAAAATGTCCACCATGGATTTTAATGTTTCGTCGATCACGAAAGGCCATAATTCGCTTCATATCCCAATTCCTCGTCTGGAAAAATTGCATTCCTTTTTCAAATATAAATAAATTAAGCAATTCGATTAATTGAATTTTTTCATTCCAAATATAAATGTATTAAACAATTCGATTAATAGATTTTTTCATTGTATCCGCAGTATGTCTTTCGCAAATTTTCGAGGTTGTTTCTTTCGATCGATCGTAGTTTGACTATAACGTCAATCGATTGTAAATCAATCTGAATTTATGAGACACATTTGATATAATTTATGTAAAAGAATAAAATTTTTGGATAACACATTTCTTTTATTAAGTACGATTAAATAAATTCTGATGTCAATTTTTTAAATAAAATGAAATAATTACAGTTATTTAAACAAGCCATTAATCATAAATGTGTAAATTATTATTTTTCAACTTCATGAAGTTTGAAAGTTTGAAGTGAGCGAATTTTGCTGTTATTACAAAATAATTATATGTATGTATGTATGTACATACAATTATAGTTTTTCGTTTTATCTCAATTACATTTACGTTCTCATTATCTGGTTTCCTTCTCCATTTTATATTTTTCTGTGTCTACAATCTCTTTTTGCTTTTGTAAATTTATCAGTCACATATGCTTAAAAGAACACTTTTTTCTATATATTTATGTATTATTTATATTATTTAAAAAAACAATATTTACAATAATAATTAACATATTATATATATTTTTTTATGTTAAAGTGTTAGTTCTTCCGTTCTAAAAAATTTATTGCCATCTATCAGTCACGATGGATCGTGTGTCAAGTCGTATTTGCAGCAATCATGAAGGTTATCCGGAAAAAATAGAAATTTGCAATGATCCCCAAGCAAAAACGGTATATTGCAAAATATTCGCAAATTAAACTTAATATATATGGCCTAATGAGATCTCTTTTCTTAAATGATTTGAATAATGTTGTATGTTCTACACTTAACAAAGATGATATAATGCATGCTAAAATTAAAAATAAAATGGATAAAAAAGTACAAATATATACAAAATTTAGAAACTTATAAATAAAATAAAATGTGATCTATTTACACAACACATATAAAATTTAAATATATATGTATATACACAATATATGCATTTTTATAAATAAGAATATATTGCCATACTTATTTATTAAAAATTTATATTCATATTTTATCTTTATGTATACAATTTTATTTCAATTTTCATGCGATTTTTCTTTTCTTTTTGCAGATGATCGAGTCTAAAATATCACCGCATATATTTAAGAATCACTCTGACAGTTCTCAAATGATTAGAAAGATTGATAAATCACTGGAAAAGCAAATGTTTTTTGACGATGAAATTTTAAAAATAATCAGAGGAATGTTATTGGCCTTGTCGATATTGTTCTTATGCTATTATGGACCAATGCAATACAGTGTCTTGGAGAATGGACAGATCCTTCGTGGTTTTTCTTCGAGAGAAACAATTATGACATTTAGTTTGGGCTATTCTGCCTGGCATTCCATAATATCCGTTATTGCAACTGGCATGCTCATTTATTCCATTATCTTAGTAAATAATATTATTCTTGGGTGATGTATATTTTGTTTCTTCTCAAGTTTTGCTATTTTACATGTCTATTTTACACATTTACATTTTGTGTATTAGTTTTATATATTTATTGTATTTTAATTATTACACGTTTTAGAAACAGCCGCAATTTAGTTTGCCTCTCATGGGTCTTTTTCTGGCTGAACTTGTCTATGATTCCTGCGATGCGATTGAAATGGTTTGGTACTTTTTTGGATATCTTCGGCTACAAACCGCACTGCTTTATGCCGCAGGAATCTTTCTACTGATCTGTAAATTTCTCTTTTATTCTCTTTTTCTTTCTTTGTATAAATAAAACGTAGGGCAAAAGTCGAGAGAATAATGCACTTTGACAAATAATACTAAATACAGAAAATAATTTTGTGTGTGTGTGTGTGTGTGATAAATATGAAAAAATATCATATTTTTACAAAAAAATATTTATAGCTCTGCTTTTATTATATTTTACTATTTGTTATTTTTTCCATTCTTTTTTTTTTGTTTTAAATTGCTTTCACGCAATTGTAAATTTATACTACATATGTCGAATCTTTTATATTATATTTAGTGGCAGAAATATGGACCTGGCTGGGTATTCTGCGACTCTATGAATATCGAAATTTTCAATCATATTAGATGACAGACGATGAAGATGAGAAGACGAGTACGAAAAAATTTGTATATTATATATTTTGTAATCCGTATATATTATATTACGTATTTTTCACAAATGTTGCAGCGGTATTTCTTAATTAAAGAAAAACTTATTTCTTTTTCAAATCGTCTTATTTTTGTAATTTTGCGTAAAATCTTATTATAAAAATTTAAATATCACCGTTCTTCTTCAACTTTTATTTTCTAAATGCAAATTTCAAGATCGACAAGATCAGGTTACATTAAATTCTTCCATGGCATTTCACAGAACTAAGCTCTTTTGTTAAATATTATAAGTTCCTAAAAATTTCTAGTCATATGAACGGTAGGACAATCGAGAACATTGACAGAGCATCGTGATTTTAAATCAAGTATTTGTACTTCAGGACACTTCTCAATCCTGAAAAAATAAGAGTTTTTATTTTGTATTATTTATATATTATTATCTCTATTAAAACATTTATAAAAAGTAAAAAAAAAATAATTTTTAACTGAAAATACCTCGGACAAAATTTACGCAAAGCGTCCTTCAAATTATAAATTTGCGTTGCATTTTTCGATATTTCTTGTAATAAAAATCCTAAAAATGCTTGACATTGTACTTCTGTTGCTTGCAAATCAATTGTCGGGTCAATCGTGATTAATTTGTTGGGCGTGTAATCTCGTTTTTCTCCCTTACTTCAGAAATAAAATATAGTCACTTAGAATTATTAATTATTTATTATTATTTATTATTCGTCGCACTTACGTCCACCGAAATTTATTGATACTCGACAAGTTGCAATACGCACTAGGATGCATAGCAACTCCGGGCGAATTCCAGAGTAAATATGCTCTTGCTGCCATCAGCAATAATCCGTTGTTCAAACTTTTCGCAATGTTCAATAATTTTGACCTTATAATTGCAAAATAGGATTGACAATTATACGGGGAAATGTTTCTTCTTTCTTATATACTAATTTCTTGTCAACAATTTAACGGCTGTACTTTTTGTATAAAAGCTTTTGTTTGTCGCCGATACTTTTCGCGGAATCGCGTTTAACGTATTTACAATCAAATCATTAAAACTATCATTATTTAAATTTTATTAAATAATATTCATGTACATGCATACAAAAAAAAAAAGTTAAATTTGAACTCTGAAAACTTGGATTAAAATTGATTGAATGACTTGATGCAAAGAAAGCCAAACTTTCTTAGACTGACAAAAGTAAGTCAAACTAGAAGGAACAGTGTATTACAAAATATATAAATATATTAAATAATTTCCCGTAAATCTTATAACACCACCAAATGGCATAAATTTAAATAAACATAAAATAACTATACTAAATAAGAAGATAAGAGGTTGCACAAGGAAAGTCACGAATACGTGACTCTAGCTGATAATCGTTGGCAGAACGAAATCACACATATGTGATAACAGTAGCCGTCAAAGTGTTGTTATTTTTTTTCACATACAAAAATTAAATATATATAGTATATATTATAGCACACATAACCCCCCTCCCCTTCATACACAAAGAAAAATATCTTATAGATTATGTGTGTGCATGTGTTAAGAATTATATTATATTATGTATATTAATTAATAGTCATATAATAATTACTTGCTGAAAAATTCGTCGATTGATAAGTCGGCTATGCGAATATTGGTGTTTTGGGTGGCTAATGCCATTTTGAAATGAGCTTCCGGAATGTTTAATGCATTGGAAGTGCGCATCAAATTAATCAAGTGTATCTATAAAAATATATATTTTATTAAATTGTGATGCACAGAGATAATTTTATTATGGGGAAAAAAAGACTCGAATAACAAACGCACGCCATTTTGAATTGTTATTTGGCGAATTAATAAGAATATAATCGACTAGATATTTCTTTTATAAGACTAGTATTTTCATAGAGTTTGTAAATTTCCACATCTCTCATAGAAAATGTCTGCTCTATATAAATTCGTGTATTAAAAATAATATTTTATTACAAAAACAAAAATTGATTTTACTTATACTTTAAAAAAAATCTAAATAAAATTGAAAAGTATTGACATACATTCAGATTGGGTTGCTCTCTCGCCGCAGCCTCGATATAGCAAAATTCTTTTTTGGTCCAGACTTGCGTAGCTTCCTTCACGAAATAGACATTGAATGAATGCTCGTCTTCGATGATCCTATATTCACTAAAATGTTAATAGATTACGTCATTATTTGAAAATTTACATACTTGTTGATTCATAAACAACGTGAAATATTTCTTCTATCACGTGTGCGACGTTTTGATGTAAATTATAAAGATTAATTGATTTTTATTTTTATTTTTTAAGTATTGAAAAGATCCTTGATGAGATGATTACGTACCAACAATTATCATCGCTCGTTGCGGGTGAGCAAAGTATTGCCGTGACGAAGGCAAAAAGAACCAAACCGCTAATGATGAGACACGCTGTCATGAACGAGGAGAACAGATCGTTTGGCCATCTCCTTAAATGATGCGCGACACCCTTGATCATCGGGGAATTGTACCGAGCACCTTGAATCAGATCTTCGACGTACATGTACGGAAGATCAACAATCTTGACCTCACTTTCGTCTAAGAAGAAAGGAAGTCTATCCTCGTCAAAGTCTGTAAAAACATTCGCACAAATTCTTCTTTAAGTTTTCTTTTATTATATTAACATTCATATTCGGTAAAGAAAAAGAAAATGGTAAAAACTTTTATAAAAAAATTAACATATCGCTCTTCAACGCGATACACACGTGTAATATATTTGCAATTGTGAAAAAGTTTTGTAAAATTGAAACACTTTCGAATTTTGACACTTTTGGATACTTACACTTGGCCTTCGACATTCTACCAAACTTTATCGAACTGTATTACTTCTGACTTTCGTCAACGTCGCTTTAAAGTCCTCCAATGCGATTTGCCGAGTCGACACTTCATAATAAAATCGAGCAAAAGTGTATCGAGCTGCAGCGACGTTGAGAAATCGACGAGGTGTCCGGATTGTGTAATTCAAGCATGTCACACTTTTGCAAGTTTAACGCGAATTTGCTCGACAGACGAGAGTGCGCACATTCGTTTGTTAATTTTACTCATCGAAGCAAAACTCTCTCGTTTTTAATGAAACATTCACTAGATTGCGATACAACGAATTATTACATCGATATTTTTTATACGCGACAATCACATATTTTTATGCACAATAATGTGGATCGTAAAAAATACAGGGAGACTCGAACGTGACTCGTGGCGGCGAATTTTATGTCTAACGCCACTCGAAATCTATCGAAGAACTACGATTCGAGATATCGAATTATCGAAACCATCGAGGAATCTCGAAGTGAAACCGAAAGGCCGAAATAGGCGTACTTCAATATAGGAATTGATAGGAATAAAATACAAAATAAAAATAATTGCAATTGGTGACTGAATTGCGTATAATTTATTCAACGGCGATAATTATTTTCTTAAACAAACTTCTTTAAAACATGTGTTGTTCAAAGTAAGTATTATTTTTTTGTACATATATATTTATGTTATTGCCATGCGCACACTAGACGTTTTGACATTTTAGGTTACCTTTGCTAAGTTAGCAGCGTGCGTTACAAAAGATTACAAGAAGATTCAGCGAGCTTGGAGGAGAGAATAATGTCGGCCGCAAAGCCAGAATTAAAGAATTGGAAGGAATACAATCGCAAACGGAAGGAGCTTCGAAAGCAGTGGAGGGAAGAGAAACTGATAAAGAGGACTAAGAAGCAGGAACTCGAAAAGGAATCGAAGAACGAATCCAATGAGCACGTGGAAGGAACGAAGTACGAGCGGAAGGACGTCTGTACTGTGAGCATCGCAGTACCTGGGTCCATTCTCGATAACGCACAGTCTTCGGAGCTGCGAACGTACCTGGCGGGACAGATCGCACGCGCGGCGTGTATCTACAAAGTGGACGAGATCATAGTATTCGATGACAAGGGTGACGTTACGGAGAGTGAGAAAAAAAAGATTAGGAAGGATGATGCACTGGGCGAAGGTAGGCCTGGATGCCTACAGTTGGCCAGGATACTGCAGTATTTGGAATGCCCGCAGTACCTGAGAAAGTATTTCTTTCCGATTCATAAGGACTTGCAGTACGCGGGTGTGCTGAATCCCTTGGACGCGCCGCATCATCTGAGACAATCAGACGAATCTCTGTACCGAGAAGGGATAGTCACCAATAAGCCCATAAAGACCGGCAAAGGATCTCAGGTGAATGTAGGACTTCTAAACGAAATTCATGTGGATAAGGTATTGATGCCTGGTTTAAGGGTGACAGTAAAGATACCAGAGGGACAGCCAAATCCAAAGAAATTAAAGGGTATCATCGTGCCACCTAATGTACCACGCACAGAAACTGGAATCTACTGGGGATACACTGTCAAATTAGTCAAGCATCTGACAGAAGTGCTGACGAATTGTCAGTATAAGGGAGGATACGATTTGACAATTGGAACATCCGACAAGGGAATATTGATTGATGAAATAGAAGCAAGGAGTTTAGAATATCGCCACTGTCTCATAGTATTTGGAGGTGTCGCCGGATTAGAAGCTGCTGTGGATGTGGACCCGAATTTAGATGTCGATGATTCATCCTTGATATTTCATAAATATGTGAACACATGCCCTCAGCAAGGATCACGGACAATCAGAACAGAAGAAGCTATTCTTCTGACTTTAGCCGAATTAAGGACTAAACTAGTGTCTAAAGAAATCATTTCCTAAAATAAATAATAATAGAAACAGATAAGTATCTCATATCTTGTTTCTAAAATCATATTGAATCTTGTCATATTAACTCTTTTTATATATTCATAAATATATTCAGATTTTTGTACATATATTTTTATAAAAATGTTAAATGTTTTCTCAAAAATGCTTTGCGTATTCACATAATTTTCAATTGTTGTTACTATTTTGAGTGATCGTGACCTAAATAACAATTTACCGTATCTCTAAGAGTTGTAATTACTTTAGCTTGATCAGTGGAACCTATGACAGCTGTGCCAGACACAATCATATTAGCACCAGCCTAAAAAGATAATGTAATCGATATATAATTAATTAACAAATTAGTTTCAGACAAGATAACTTGAATATTTTCTTAATGACATTATTTACATATTGAAATAATCTTTGACTATACCTTTGCACAGGCTTCAATTGTAGTTGGTCCAACCCCACCATCAACCTCAATATCTAATCCAGGATAATTCTCTCTTAACCATGCGACTTTCTGTAACATTGGTTCCATAAATTTCTGCCCACCGAAGCCAGGTTCTACAGTCATTATTAAGATCATATCGGCTAGATCGACATAATCTGTTATCACATCTACAGATGTCCCTGGTTTAAGTGCCACACCAACCTATTTTAAAATTAACGTACAATCCATTAATATTCCACTTAAAATATCTAAATTTTTAGATAGTATTACCTTCATTCCTG